CTCAAATTAGAAGAAAAATACATAAAACTTTCGTGTAGAACACGTCAATAGGTACAACTTCTGTATAAAAAGCATTTCGCCAGCGTCAATAATTAATTGTATATTTCCTTCTATACTTTTTAGCACGTAGCTATTTATTATTAGCATTGTTCTTCCGACGTCTGATTTCTTTTTAATTATAGGAAATGCATTTTTCTAAAGTACATAAACTTTTGGGATTGACTATATAGCCAATACATCCTTAACGTCGAAAACCAGTTTTCGAATCAACGTAGAAGTAATCTACATGATTGAGGCATAAACGATGTTTTGTAAAAATGAGTCGAGAACCCATCACTGATTATAAGAATACACTGTATGAAGCGGTTATTAATAATTGGCATCGGATGACGAACGGTGATATACCGAGAGTCCGTGATCGAACTATTATCCTGATATTAGCTAATTTTCTTCGGTTTAATGAGAACCGTATTGGAAATATTGGAATTTCTGTTTGAGTTCCACGGAAACGAGAATTTAATATTCGATTACATCGTTTAAACGGCGTATGAGAATCGGACCGCGGGGGTACGTCGATTCCTCTCTATGATTGGATCTATTATGCATAGAGACGAAAAGAGATAACGGGCTTGAACTTCCGATACGAAAATTGGAGTCGGCCGTTTTTAGGCTTCGACCGATTCGTTGAAACCCAGTGAAATTTTCTGTTAACGCGAGCGTGAAACGAGATTCAAAGACAAACGTTTCTCGTTTGATGCTCACGCGTTTGTCTTCACGCGTTTTCTGTGCTTGCTTGCTCCGGTACGCACTCAACGAACCGCGTCCCTGCGTGCACCCTTTGCGGGCCACGGGAGCAATCGATCTCCGGAGGACCGAACGAAATCCGACCGGTTGAAATTTCGTGCAGGATGTTCGCCTGGCGAGACACACCAGACACTCTCCGCAAGTGCGAAACCCTCTCCTTCCCCCGGGTAAACCAGCCCCATCGGTCCTCGGCTGGTTTAATTATCCTCTTGTTGCGGCAAATTGCACGGTTATCGAGTCGAACCATTCGAAGGTCTACCGTTGCCGCCTGCCTTCGATCTCCTCTAACTCACGAAAAGTAGGACAGATATCTTAATAGAACTTGACAGACGCTTAAAAAGATTCTGAACACGTCTTTAAAGTTTCGTCAAAATCGGATACAACATTTCCACGAGTTCGTAATTGCTGTTTACCCTCTGAAGTAGGATAGATATCTTAATAATTCCATTTTCGATCGAACGAAACGTATCGGTGAACAGCGGGGGTGGGATTCGTCCCTATGGAAATTCATCGCCTTGCCGTCTTCCAAACATCCGGCATTCCCTTCCCTCGGTACCCCGGTAAACTATGTTAAAACAAAACAGACGCGAGAATCGTGACTGGCGCCGGGCACGTGTGTGCACAGTACGTCGAAGAACAGTTCGAGTGGGAGCCGAGTTAACGTCCACGGATTCGAATGCAATATGAAAGATTCCGATCCTATTCAAATAAGCTCGCTGTGGGAACGCGACACGTGTACCGTGTATGGTGTTCTGGTCGAGCATCTGGATTTTCAATATGCCGCGAATATCGAACGGGATCCCCTCATCTCGCGACTTATCGTGTATCTCAACCCCGTTCAGAATCAACTTGGAGGATTCTTGTACCGAGGAAAAATACGCGTTAACAATTTCAGACGCCTTGTAGCAGATAGAAAACTCAGTACTTGGCTGTTATTTTAATAGAAGCAGCACAGGAGATGGGAAATAAAATCTGATTCCGGATTCACCGTTTGAAGGGTTGCATGAAAATACTTCAGTGTAGTTTAGAATCGTCAAAATTCGTAGAAGCACGATCCTATGAATTTCTAAGAACAGTAAATCGTTCTCTGTCCACGGTTCGCTTATCAATCATGCGAAGGATCGACGGAGAGAAATTTGAATGAAGCTACGGTCCTGGCGAGATCCTCCCGTTTTATATCAGTAAAAGAGCTATATAGAGTACCCTGGAGCAGTGCCGTCTACAGGTTCGACCCTGTACTACCTCAGTGCAGTCACCACTTCCCTCAAAAGCGTATCGCATCTTATCAGCCGAAAAGTTCTCCGTTCCCGATTTGTTTCTCGTGCAACGCTGGTCACCAGGTTCGTCGACGGGCACGTAAGTAGCCGCACGAATCGTTTACCGATCTCGATTCCGCCCTGTCGTCGACGAGAACGGGGGTAATTAAACGTCCACCGGTGGGAACGTGTATAAAAGGCGTAACGAGTGGACCTCGAGAGCCTTGACCTTAGCCTTTGGCCATTTGCACGCGAACATAGTCCGCATTGTTCGTATTTCCGGCCGCGACATAAAGCAGACGGTAGAAATAAAAGAAAAAATAGCCGGGAGAGAGGAGAGAAACGGAGAGAGAAATAACGCGTAATGCGGCAGAAAGCGCGAAAAGAGGTCGATAACATCGCGCGCCCGCGCAATTCTTGCGTTTCTTCCGCAGACGGCGAAAAAACCCGCGGCGATAGCTGATACCGTGCGTGTGCCTGGCGAAAGGGGTGAGATAATAGCGCGAGGCAGGATCGGGAATCGAACCAGCATGTGCGTTTCCCAGGTGTCAACCTCGAGCTGCGTGCGATAGCGACTCGGCGAGTACACCTAGCCTGGCCCGGGACGAGGACGAATTTCGTGTTATCGATCAGCTGCGAGCCACGACGTTGTATCCGTACGCACGGCCGCGTGCCCCCGTGCATCGCTCCCAGACGTTCCTCTCGCAACCTAGTGCAGTCCGTGTGCACGGTGATCCAGTGATCAGTATACGAACGTTCGGTCGTTTCATTCGCGGTTTCCCGGAGATCGGTTGGTACGTAATTCGACGTCGAGTACGTAAAATAATTCGACGTGTGTCCGTGTAAGAATTCGTAACTCGAGACATACGTTTGCCGTTCAAGGAATTCACAACCAGGACAATCTTAATAAGTGATTTATCACATTTTTTAGAACAATTTCGATGATGCAATATGTAATTGTTCATTGTTATTGCTTCGATGGAATTTCATATTCTGTCTCGTTTCGCAACGTGACGAAACGCGAATCGTCGGCTGTTTTTAATTAAAGAGGCTTCGCGAAAGGGTTCGATTGGAACGATTGCCAAAGGCGTCGAGCCTTCAGTCTCGAGAGCCAATTAATATCTTTCTTAACAGTATCTGATATACAGTGGCTCATGAAATCTTTTGAAAGGGAATAACGTTTTTAATATAGGGTCAGACTGCATAATTGTGCTATATGCGCTAACACATTTTTCTCATCGATTATCTACCTCGACATCATGAAATCTGTGTACTGCTCTTTTCGGTAACCGCAAACACTGGGGTGCTCCAGGTGGCAGATTCGTGGCAGCGTGATTAGTTTCCTCTAGCGGCGTTGAAATTTCAGGGTTCGAGGGTCCGACTCGTCCCTATTTGATCGTACAATACGTGTATAAACGTGCGCACACAGACTCTCTTTCAATCGATTGTCTGCGTCCCGACGCTCGTTTCGAGTCAATGAACCATCTACATGAATTAGTAAAATTCCGGAAAAAGGGTATTAGTTAATCCTTTGAAATGGACATAGCGACCCCTTCGTACAATAAAGTTCTTTCGTTAATGACTGAAGGTAAAAGGTACGGTTTAGCGCATTTTCAAATGTAAATCGGTTTCTATCTCGTTTCTATACAGTGGAGGTATCGGGGATATTTCATTGAACGAGTAAATGGAGGAGATATCTCGAATCGATCGGGGGACAGTCGCGATAACCGCGTCATTTATTATTCCTGGCTTTATTGCACGTCACTCCGGCATTCCAGTAGCGTTGACTAACCGGAAACCATTGGTTGAAACTTCCTTGACGTGCTCACCGTCGCAGGCTTACCGTCGCAGACTTACCGTCGTTATTAATCACCTCCGGACGCACGGTATTTCTGTCCATTTTTATTACAATTTTATGTTACGTCTGATTCTTAAAATGGGAGACCTTAACGAGGATCGAACGAAAACGATGGATTCTAATTTCGTGTTATGCGACCTAATACAGGAGTAAAATATGTAAAACGGAATATCGAGTTTTAAGTAGTCGTTAATAGCCGTGTTACACAAGTGGTTGAAATATGGGCTACAAGAGTGACGCAGCTGGCTCGTCGCTGTTCCCTTTTCTTGCTAGACACGACGTCGTATTGAGGAGCCCATCCCCCCGAAAAAATGAACAAAACGTCGTTTTCATGGTGGCACCGTTGCATGCGGTAACTCGATAGCAAAACACACGAATGTGTCCCGGGGACAGATTCTATTTTCAGGCGCCGCAGGAGCAAAAGAAGCTACGAAAGCTGAGACGGAACCATGTTATCTATACGGTCTCGTTTAAACGCGAGTCGCGTTCTCAGTTTCGCATCCTTCCTCTAGTTTACGCTGACGTCTTCGTTGGTTTCTCGTTGCAGAAGGATCAGAGCGAGAAGGAGAGGACAGCCAAAGGCAGTTCCACGTACAACTCCGTCCAGGACGATCTCTACCTGGACGACGCGGAGTCCTGGGAGGGATCCGGCCAGGGTGGCAGAGAAGGTCGCGACGATCTTGAAGCATCCGGAAGTGGCCTGGGTCCGGACGACGAAGACGGTGACGACGACCACGGTAAAAATCGCTGTTCATAGTCTCGTCTCGAAATAACTCCAACGGATATTAGGAGTACCGGAAAGTAATCCATTATTTTAGCTTTCATATAAAAAATAATGGATTCCCTTCCGGTTGATATAATAAATTATACAAATACAATTATCCATCGTTAGTAAAGATCAAGTGGAATCTGGAATTGGTATCATTTTTTTAGTTATTTTTTCGAACCAGCCACGGTTCCATCGACGATCGGAAAACACGACGAGGAATCTCGCGTGTCTGTCATTTGGAGCACTGAAATTTTTCGATAAAAGCACAGCTCGTACAACGCATTGTGAATGAACGCGAATCGTGCGTATTTATGAAAAAAAAAAGTTTCCACTCTCTCCGTCCCAGTTTTTTTCAAATTGTCAAAATTGGAATCTGTTCGCGTTTTATCACTCGATCGATGATCGTTTGAACGATGATCTTTAACTGGAACTATCGGGAAAAACTGAAGAGAAATTTTTGCTCCAGTCGCATCGGAACGATGTACCGTTTTATTTTCTGAATTATGTCGAGTGGGATTATACAGTCTTTTATTAGATTCGTTATAGAGTTTGTTCAATGTTTTCGCAGAATTTATTTACTCGTACTGCATTTAAAAGTTGCGATGAAATTAAAAATTGCAAAATTGTTCGGAGAATCCGGTTTTAATTATTAAATCTCTGTCGTTCCGCATAAATATTTAAATTGCGGTCTCCCCTTTCTGTTACAGACTTCAATAACAATAACAGGATAGAACCGCCACCGCAGAGGCCGGCAGAACCTAAAACACCGTACGTCGAAGATCCCAGTGTTAAAACTAAGGAACAGGTGAGTGCGGCTGAAGTTTTCCTGATTAATTATTTCTTTCGACACTCGAAGATTAAAGATCCGTTAAAATACCGTATTAATCATTTAAGAGCCATTAAGCTCAACAAATTGAAGTTCAACTGTAGAAAACGTATTTTCAAATCATGAATAGATGCACTTAAATTATTATTTCATCAAGAGGGTAATAAAATATTCGTCAGTACCTCTACTGCAGCCCGCAGTGTCGTTCATTGATCCGTTTAACAATGAAAAAGTACACCTACCGTGTCCCCCTCTGGTTTTTGCGCTAAGGGGAAAGCCGTACGGCCGAAACGCGTGAGCGTTAAGGCGGGTTATTAGATTTGTTTGAAAACACACGGCTGTAGCCTCCTGGCATGCGGCTGAATTAAACGGATTAAACTGATTAAGCGGTGTCCCGTTGCAGACGATCGTCGAGACTGTAAACCGACCCGACAGCGAGGTCGATGTGAGCGAACCCTTAGATGAGGACGACCATTCGGACGACACCGACTTCAAGAAGGGTGTATATATGAATCCGAAACACGAGGACCGCGCCAGCTCCTTCTTCGCTCAGCCAGGCGTCCTGGCAGGTAAGCCTCGCCACAGCAGTTATCATGAAACGCGATTCATTCGACTCGACCTATTTCCATCGATATCAATTAGTACATGAATTATTGTACGAAGTTTTATATGGTCATTCGATGCGAATGAGTTAAATGACCTTTTGTTCCCGTTGAACTTTCACACTTTTCAACTGGTAAATGTTAAAACGCGTATAACAACGACGCGTGGCTAAGATTTTTCACTGTCGTCGTTCCATTGTGCGAGATGATTAAATACGCCGTCGTACAATTAATCACGGTACAATTCGCGAGGCGCAGTTCCTTTGAAACCCAGAATCCCGGGGAGCGTTCTACGACTCGAAACTACGCGAAGGGGTCGCGTTATTTATTAACGGGGTTCCCCTTAGTATTAAACTTGAAGTATAAGGGCAACAGGCAAATCGGCATGCCGCAGGAACCGGGGGTATTTATTCACGAGAGCTCCTCTAACTCTCCGATGAGAAATTTTCGACCAAGTTAACCAATTCCCGGCCTTACGCATAATAAATGCGCTACATAATTAACCCTCTGAACGGTTCAGACGCTATTCTCTTAACTCCGACCTCCGTAGTATAATTACGCTGTGTAAAATAGCTCCGATGGCACGACGTTTGATACTAATTTTTGGTAATTGTTTTTTTTAGCGGTAATTGGCGGGGCGGTAGTCGGTCTGCTATGCGCGATTCTGGTGGTGATGTTCATCGTGTACAGGATGCGCAAGAAGGACGAGGGCTCGTACGCCCTGGACGAGCCGAGAAGATCACCGGCGGCGCAGGCGTTCCCTAAGCCTGGGGCGCCGCATCACAATCGAGAATTCTACGCTTGAGGCGACGAAGCTTATCTGGCTTTGGCACCGCCAAATTTTGTCCCACGATACCACGCCGAGAAAGACGATTAAACTTCGACCGAATTAAACGCCACCGCCGACGACGATACATCCGGACTTCTCTCACGAGAGAGGAACACCTCGTGCGCTGACCACTGGGTGATCCTCCTCCACGATCTGGAGAAAGTGTCGCCTTAATCTCTTTCCCGATCCCCTCGATCGAACGTTTCTTCCCATCCCGCTTCTACTTGGGCGCCCGCTTCCAAAACGAACTTGTCCCGTTCCTTCGGTTTCACCCTAAAACGTGCCACCATTGCCTCCGTTTGATCGATCACTTTCTGAGGTGGAACCTCTCCTTGACTCCACAGCGCTTTATTTTCCTACTCGTCCGTCTCGCCGCGAGTAGTCCTTGGGTTAAGCGTCGGTCCACCTCCGAGAGTAGAACGTCCATTAACCCGCTCTCGGTTTCAACTTATGATCTGTATCCCTGTCGTACATCGTTTTCTCTTGTTCTCCGATGATTCGTTCGTTTCTTTACGCCGATCGAACGAGAGAGAAAGAGGTAGAAGGTGACGGCTCTGACAGAGTCACGAGTACTCGTCGGCAAGGTCGCGCCAATTCCAGATGCATTTACATAGCGTGTATTTCAGAGCGTGTACGTATCCACAGGCGTACGTACACGCCCAACCCCCTCTGTACAGGACTGAGAGCGCGAAAATTCGTGGGCGATAAACGCTGCTGGTATGTCGTTAATCATTCTGGCCCGGTGGAAGGAGGGAAAGGAAGAAGGATCGTTGCGCCACGCCGTGATTTCTCTTCGACGCCAATCCCGTGAACCACGACCTCGTTTATCAACCGTTTCTTCTACCCTTTTCTACCCTTCATTTTTTTTATCCTCCTCCCCCTATTTTTTGCACGCCTTCGCTTTTCTGTTTTCCATTTAACGATTTCCAGATTTGCAGAAGCAGTTGCTCTTGCTTTTAACGCTACAACCGGGACCGGGTCCGTGACCCGCGCCCAAGCTTTTAACCTTCTCCCGAGCCCAGTTCTATGGACTCTCAACGACCACTGCGATTGCTTATGAAGAAGCAAACGGTCTTTTCAGATACTCTAAAGAACACGCGTTCTTTGAAGTTCGTTGATTTTTTTATAGGAGTCCCCTAACTTATTTCAATCGGTAGATCGAGTAGAATTATGATAAGCTGGATTTAAAATTAGGCTACGTAGGCAAAGTTTCCCTTAGGCATATTGCAAAAGAATCGTCTCAAGGTCCTTAATTTTTTAAAACTCAATAAACTTATCGATAAGATTTAGGGTAAATGAATTGATATAGTATGATTATAAAATGTTTGCACTTTGGTAAGCGCGATTGTTTCCTCTGTATCAATGATTAAAGAAAAAGCAATTAAAAGCATGTTAAGTCGATTAAATTAAGTACGTATTGTTATCGTAAAGTTGATCTTGTCATTTTACGTGTCGATGAATGTTCACGTTAAATTATTTATTTCTCATCCGATGAGACGGCTTGGATCTCGATTAAAAATTCATGCGCACGGCAACCCCGACTTCAATTTCCGCTTTTTCATTATGTACATTAATCAAATGTATAGATAATTTACATTAGCCCTTATTGGACGAGAACCAGTGCGAGCGAAGCGCTGTATGAACTAAAAGAGATTCGTATTTGTCAGTGAAAATTATTCGTGTCGCAATAAGGGCTGAGACACATCGCGGAAGTGGCCTCATCGAACACGGTCGCATCGATTGCCATGCACTTAATTGATAAAAAAACTCGGCGTGCCATTTTAAGCACCGTAAGAGATGTTCATCGGTCGGACTTCCGCGGGACGTACGATATTTGTGAAAGAAGAGATTCGCTCGCATCGTCCATCGATCGCGTTTCGTCGCGGAACGAAGCGCAACGCGTCTTACATTAGCAATCGTTCCCTTCTTCCACCTCCGAGATAGAAACTATGAAACATCTCGTATGTTAAAGGGGAAAGGCTTCTTCTACTGATCGAGAGAGATTCTATTTGCCATTTGACTAGAGAAAATAAAAGAGAAAGACTTTTCACATTTTTTCGCGCGTACGAAACGTTTCTCCTTCGCGTCTACGAGTGCGCGTTACGCGGATTTATATACGTAACACATGATCCTCATCTCCGACTGCGAGACACACACGCGTATGCCATATTACGAAGGAAACCAGGATAAAGGGACAGACGCAGACACATACAGACACGCAAAACAAATACATACAGGAACATGTGTATATCTATTTGTTCCAAGATTTTCACCCGCGGTATTTATCCTACGGTCGATCAGTATCGCGAAATATGTTGTAATAATTTATTAACTTTTTCACGTAGGACCAAGCGATTCCCCTTTCTCCCTTTATACTATTGTATTCTTTCTTTTTTACTTCCTGTTACCTTCAATATTATTCTTCCGGTGATCCTGTGGATCGTTAATTCTCCCTCCTCGATTATTTGAGATTTTTTCCGGCGTCGCGTTCGCCTCTTCCCAGGTAGAATACGATCGATCTTTTACTCATCGGACACAAAATCAACATTCTTACATGATTTGTTAAAAGCGAGAACCCCGTCAAGGGACGGTTTCGTTTTATTAACGAAACGATGGTATATTGTTTAAGAAATGAAAAAAACTATTTAAGAACGAACAACTAATCATTGTAATGTATTATTATTGTTATTATTATCGGAGCATAGCGTCTAGCCGATTGAATCTCACGTCGCCGTACATGTTCCCTCCAACTTCTCGAATACAATTCGTAGGATGTAAAACACCTCTATCTTTTACTACCCTTTTAGAATCGCGACATTAATTGACGTTTAACTTTCAACGTTTGTCTCGACAAATAAATGTGAAATATCGAAATGATTTCCATAACTCCGTAAATAATCTTATATATACGATGTTATACGGTCTTATAATATCTTATATATAACGTTATGTCATTATTATATCCTGTGCAATAATAATATGAATTTTACGTACACGAACCGTCGCATTTATTATCGCCCAAGAGAAATTTCCTCGTGCAGATATGTTTGACATGTTCATTCGGACGAGAATCATCTCGCTGTCTGTGTTCTACCTGGGTAGGCAGGACACACGTGCCATTTGTATAATGTCCGACGAAAGAATCCGAACAAGATAAATTATAATATCACGACGATACTGCCACGTACTATCTTACATAAGGAAACACCAATTGCCTACGAGGAACAATCGCACCCTTTTCACTTTGGACTTCGCGTCGCACGATTCTTCGTCACGTAACGTGTCGCGTAAATATTCCAAAATTATTAACGTCACCGGCATGAAATCGATTTAATTTACGTGCTCTAAATAAAATGCGATGATTTATTTAACATCGGAAGAAAACTAAATATGTAAATTTCGAATGGTAAATCAAGTGAACGGCCTCTTGCTATTCCGGATACGTTTTCATGTGTCGTGTTGCCACTTTCCAATTCAAATTTGTTAAAATAGCTCGTAGCTGTGTTATAAGTTTATCAGGACAAAGTATTGAATTCTCTACGATGTTCTTTTAAAAATGTACCAAGTCGACTGGGAAGAACAAGTTTCGCGGGGGAAGCAAAGACCACTGATGGGTATTGATACCTAAGTAAGTAAAATTAAAAAAAACAAAACAACGTCGAGGAACATAGATTGTGTTTAGGGTAAGTCGGCAATAAGCAAAACCGAAATCAATTCTTCTATTTCAACCATCGTTGAGTGATTATCAAGCTTAGTAAGTGACATTTGTTATTTTGTTAATTTATTCCCGTTTCCACCCATTCAGTCTATCTACTCATCTTTCCGTTCGTCGAGAATCGAGAAGCGAAACTAGAAATCAAATCACAATCTTTATTGTAACAATAATCGTATGCATCATAAAACGAAGGATGGTTCGTGAGTTAGTAATTAATTTTCTTGCGTGGCGATGCGAAGATACGGGAAACGTTGTTTCGCTTCGTGGTTTCACAAACGACCAGATCTCTACTTTAGCGAGACACAAGTAAAACTTAAAGAAAGAGAATCGTTTGTGAACGACGAAGAAATTTTGTGCGGTGTCATATGACCAGAAATAGGCGAAAGAGAGGTGAATAAGTGCACGCTGCATCCCCGCGTGGGTCATTTAAATACTCGCGAGACGCGCTGCGTTCTATGCGACAACAAACAAGAACGCTAATTGTAATGAAATCATATTTTATAAGAGGACGTATTCCTGTAAGGATGCTATAGCAATGAGGAGTCTGTCTGACGGTAGACGAGAACCCATAGGCCAGGTGGACGAATGAATAATAATTTTAAAACTGAATATAATTAATATTTAATGATAACGATAATTAACGATGTTAATTTTTTAAGTGTAAGTATTGTCTACACCCGAAACCCCCTTCTTGGTCGCCCTCGAAGCTCTATCGACTATTATAATATTACATAAGTATACGTGCACAGGTGACTCAAGGGACTTCGGACCCACTTAGCACGCACACGTTGGGAATGTTAAGAGAACGTGTCACATTTTCTATGTATGCATGCAAAATGAATCCCGAATCCAACGAGTCATCTATACACATATTCATGGAAGGAAAATAATTAATCATCCGCCCGTCAAACAGTGAACAATGATTCTACTTTTTGGTAGGCGCGATGAGATCATTGATCGATGTTCCAAGTTCCTGGGATCTTCACGAATCGATCAGAGTTTCTGATCGTCGTATTTCAGTTCTAAACGAATCGCGGGCGTTTATGTTAACAAGTCGTGTTGTTATTAACAGAAATTAACGATAATTGCACTATGTTAGTATAACGAAACAATACTGTATGTCGTCGCTCCTATTCTGTAAATAAACACTGTGCCGTATGAGAAAACCTGACACGATGATGTGGTTTTCTTAATGACGTAATAATACGGGGATTTGTTTAGATCATTTTATTCACTGATAAAAGTACATAGAAAATATCTTGATTCGTAACATACTTAAAATATCTCATGGAATTGCATTCCTACAAAATTTTCGACGTAAAAATAAAGCCTCTATCGAACACCATTGATCAACTATTATAACATGATACCTAATCCATTGTCTTAAAATATTTACAACGATAGTCTATATAAAGATTATCAAAAAATACGTCGTTCTTTCATCGACCAACTGTTCAACTTTCGTATACTTCTTAACCATTGCACATGCGATATGTTACATTTGCCGTATCATGCGAACTGAGATATCAACAAGAGACACGAGCGATCAGGAAGATCCAGATTTCTCTCTAAATCTTAATGCACGTATTTAAAAACAGTTTCATAGGAAGAACTCTCGAAGGCTCGAAAACGCTCGGTGACCACGTTAAAAAAATAATAATGGAGAAAATAATAATTTTCTAGAAGAAACGATTGCACTACAAATTGCACTTGAGGTACGGTTTTAAATATTTGACGAAAGATTGGTTCACACTCTCCTGGTTCAAAGGGCTCTTAAGAGCTTCCGCGTACAATCGTTCGTAAACGTTACCATCGTAAACGCCTAAAGCCGAGTTCAAAATATCGTCACGGTAATCGAAACTATCGACGATCCCCACAGCGTTCGGACGAATTGCCACTAACAATTCTTCTAAGCGAGACTGAAGGAGCAAGACATCCTCCTTCGTCATATTATAGAACTACAAATAATCCGAAAATAATTCCGTTTAATATAACAAATCATTACAAAAGATGACTGAGATACTCACTTGATAAAAGTCACCGCGCTTTTGCAGGAGCCAATGCACGGCGTACAATTCGCAGAGTTGATACAATACTTTGCGTAATTCCGCGGACATAGAAGAGACCCGTCTAACGGATTCGATGAACGTCTTCACAATGAAAGCTCGGCAATGAGCCTCCGCGCATTGAGTCAGCTGGATGCTAGTCTGGTTCCACGCGTCTTCTGGTGAAACGCCGTTACGTATTCTCTGATCCATGTTCTCCGTTGCTAAACGAATAGAGCTATGGAATAGCAACAGATATTTAAGATGTATAGTAAGGAAAGAAGATCTGCACATATTTAAGAGATGTATACCCCGCGGCAACTGTATGAAATGCATTTATGAAGCAATCCAACGTGTTCTTCCAACTTCGTGGTCTGATTCCTTTCGCTATAGGTTCGAGATATTGCACGGTAGATGGAAGCGGTTCGCCAGCGACAGCCTGCTTCCATCCTCTAACTAGGTATCTAGCTGTTTGCAAAAGCATCACTGTATTTTCCCCTTCGTAAGTGCAAATGGCGGTGATTAAACCGTACGTGACCGGGAGATTGCTCGCGTCCATGTAGCCGTGTCCACCGCAGGCTAACCGAAGTTGTTCAACACCGTTTGCCCCGTCTGCAGACGCAACTGCTTTTAAGCAACACGACAATGCATGCAACTACGAAAGGAAGTGTCAGAGTCAAACCGATGAAGACGTCGGATCAAATTGATAGAGTGAGCGTAAGATACCTCGGGCAGCTTATCCATATCGCCTTGCTCCAACTGGGAATTCACGCTATTGTACAAATCCCACATATGAATGGCTACCATTTTAAACGCGAAGTACGCGGCGATGTGTGGAAAAATTTTATACTGTTGCGTCACATAATCCAAAATCTGCACTTCGGGTTTACTAAAAATATCGAATCGCATGAATTTTTAATAAGTTCGGTTCAAGAACAACAAAGTTGATTAGATGAAACATTCATAATGATTTTATCTAAACATAAATTTAAATTTGACGTTGACGACTCGAACTTTATGTAGCGTCGTTAACCCCTTGACATACAAATTAAATGGAAGTTTAAAACAATTGTCTCGAACATTACTTACTCGGAATGTATCTGGCCTTGACGTCTTACAGCGCTGTACCGTGTCGCAATCGTACACGCTTTGGCTAAATAAGTTATAATATCGTTGAGCAACATTACTCGGACGAATACCATCGTACCGTATGTTAATTTGTCGTTTTTCGACTTCACGTACGTTCCATCTTCCAGAACCTATAACGAAACGGGCAATTTTAGGAGTCTTCAAGAGTGAACATAGTTTACGCACAGTTCTATTTACAGGCCGCAGACCTGTAATTTACCTTTTTACGTTCACTGCCGCAATGGATTTAGCAACAAACAGAAAATACAAAAAGTAAGACCGATTTCGCAAGAACAAGTTTCATTCTCAGTGAACAGAAATAGAACTGTTAAGAGGAATGAAATGAAAACAAGTGTACTTTTATATTTTACCTGAGAGTTCTTCATCATCATGCTCTCCCGCGGTATCCTAACATTTTCAAACCCGAGGAAACCGTTGTTCACAGCGTTCATTCCCAGTTTCGTACCAATTTCTCCGATCTTAATACCTATAAACAGCATAACAGTATAAGAATCCAACGAATCGCAAATGAACAAAATGTCACATTTATCCACCTGGTAATGGTTCGTGAGTATTTGTATCTCTTAATTGAACGATGAAAGGATGAATCCCTTTACAGTCACCTTCTGTGTACAGTTGTGCGAGTACAATCGCATGATTCGCGGTATGACCCACTGAGGATTAAAAGTTCTTTCTATTAGTAAAACAACTTTCTTTCCTGTCCGTCCTACTTCGAGAAGTGTGTTATACTCACAGCCGCCGGGCCACCATTTATAAGATGTCAAAGTAGGGCTGTTTAAAACAAATTCCTTTGTTTGGGGATCGTAAGTCGCCGTCGTTTCTAAGCCCCTGATGAACGTGCCATGGCCAAGCTCGGTCTAAGAGTAACGATAATCAATTAATTTACTCGCGTCGCTATTTTCGCTACCTACACTTTACCTGAGCATACGTGCCGATGATGTCTCCGTTCCAAGATTTGGTCATCCAATACGCTTGTTGTTTCGTGTTTCCCTGCCCCATAATTCCTGGAAGAAACATCGCGAAATGCACCAAGAATGGGAATCCATCATTGAATATCGCGGTACCGAGTCTAGCTCCGATGATGTGACTGTGAATCAAATTATATTAAATCATGACGAACTTGAAACTAATTATTCGAAACATATGATGAAATTTTACGTACGTATATACGTTCATACCGCCTTTTCCGGACTCTTGCAAAAGTCTCACTTTCTGCAAAACCAGACACGATTTTCGCACAGCCTCCTCGTATATTTCTTTGTGACTTTTAAATTTGTCCGGTACCACATCGTGTAACTCGGGATCGGACAAGAAATACTCTTCTGTTAATTAAAAATGTAAAGATTCACATTTGTAATTGTGACAAAAAATGATAATTATCACTATTTATAATATCACAGAATAAAAAAATTGAACTATGACCTACGATCCGAGAGCGTGAACGATCAGATTACTACAGATAAGGCACAAAATCTGATAATCGATTTCATGGTATTCTTAATGTTATCTGATAACATTTACTGTTAGTATATACTGTTACAGTTACAATATTTGTAAATTAATTGCGTCGTACAATACGATATTATTTTGATGGACTAATAAATATTTATCATCAACAAAAATTCGCTAGATTCCGAAGTGTCATTTACTAATCTCTTCTTATCTAAATAAAAAAGCGACAGATCTGTTTTTTATGTCTAAATGACTTACAACCAAAGTAAATTACCGACTAAACATAATCAACCATTAGCATATCAAATGATCATGTAATTTACTTGCAGAGCAGTAAACATTCTTCCATTAAAAATAGAACGTTGTGAGAACAAATGTTTTACATGTAACAACATTTTACGAGTAATCAACATGTAGGATCGCAATCAAAATTATTAATTTCTTTAAACCGAGTTAGTGTTTCTTAATATGATTTATATTGGCGTAAAAAATCTCGATTGCGTAAGTTTTCTTAAAACACAAATAACTGACATTTTAATACATGTAAATAGAATAGATAGTTCCACTAATCCATATAAATGTGTTCCGTTTACGTAATATTGGTAGATACATATTCAACAAGTGATTTATAATAATTATATGTATTTCATTGCCTTACAATTAGTTATTACCAAGAATTTATAATAATTCAATAAAGACATAATTATTTTCCGTGAATATATCTTTGTCCTCATTTACAAACGGCGCGAATCATTGCGCTTCTATTCTTTTTGTAAAGGATGATAATCATTCACTTTAATTATCTTCGCTGTCTTGTTTCGCAATTATTGTTTGTTTTTGTTTGGACTGCAATGCAGATTAGTTATTCCGTTACAGTACGTCAAAATCTTTCCGCACTCCAGTTAACTCCCGACGATACGCATCATAACTTTAAAATCAAGATCATGAAGAATTGTAGTTCTGACTCAAAATCTCTAAATAAAGAAGTTCGAACAAGAAATTTGGAGAAACCACCGAGTGAAAGTCTAAGAAATAATTAAGATTGACGATATTCAAATCAGATACCTAGTTCACGACGCTCCAGCGTTCGATCCGCACCGCCGTCCAAGAGATTTGTCAATTCTATAGTTCGGAACGTGCACCTGTTCCGCTCGTACTGCAGATCCTTGTTTACGTTCATTCTTCCCCACGGGTTACTGAATTGTTGGTTTAACACAAAGACGACGACGTTCGTCACCCGATTTATGTTCCGTCTTCAGAGCTTTTACCACTCGAGACGCGAGTCAAGACTCGACACACTCGAGTCAAGAATGAGCAACCGTTAAATACACGTCCGCTACGTAACGTCACCGGTTACGATCAACGTCATCAACGTCACACGACCATTAAAGATGAAATCTCCAGCGAAATCTGTATTTCGAAGGTTTCATATGTCTCGTATCTTTGAAATTCGACCACCATCGTCACCTTTCTCTCCCGTCACCGACGATGACAATCCACGCACAGATGATGCACTACACGTATTACGACTTTATATACGTACAATAATCGCATAACTTTTATATGTGTACGTACGTCTTATTGTAAGAACGTACGATCAATTTCCTCGATTCTGTCTCTTTCAACGTGAAATAAGTGGCAAGTGGCAGAACCGAAGAGATTACATGTACACGTGTCGTGAGGAACTTCACGTTCCTCAATACCTGCATTTGCATAAAACAGCATTACATATGCCGCAAGCATTCCTGTGTCTTATGTGATTGCATAAAGAGGTATTAATTATTGTCTGTTCAATTTTGAGAAAATATTCGAAATGAAAGAAACTATACATATATTTTCTTGCTACTTCCGTTAAATGTACGAATACATAGGAAGTACAACTGTGGCCATCTTGACGTTCTTTACCGTGGTCAACTTACAGGCTGCGTCATGAGGTACGGAAAGTCCAGCGATTTTTCATTTTATCTTAATAATATTAACTTGGATTAATTTCGTGTTGGCCGCAGTATCACCATAAAGACTTTTACTATCGTGAAAACGTGTTAGATAGTTCGAAATGATTCTTTTCATACATTTTACGTTCGGCTATTTGTTGACGGCTGACCACATGGTTTTTCGACCGAAATCCTTGTTGTTTTCGATCGTTACTTAGATACTCATTCATTGAGAGTCGGTTTTAGTGCACGTTTCGTCTGAATTATATAGAAAAATAATTCGTAGGCTCAGTGACTGTAACACACTCTCATCCTCACAGTCTAACACGATCCTATTTTGTTGCAGTTCGTTAAAGCTACAGAAGAGGCTTGCAGCCTCTGTTATGCGATGTGGTAAAAAGAAGGTCTGGCTGGATCCTAATGAAATCAATGAAATTGCGAATACAAACTCCAGTACGTTTCCCCTTTGCTCAAAATAATTGATTTATTGACATATGTAAAACTGTATTTTTCTTTTAAGGACAAAGCATTAGGAAGCTGATCAAGGATGGTCTTATCATTAAGAAACCTGTAGCTGTCCATTCTAGAGCCAGAGTTCGTAAGAATACTGAAGCTAGACGTAAAGGACGTCATTGTGGATTTGGTAAAAGGAAAGGTACAGCAAATGCCCGAACACCACAGAAGGTAAATGAAACTTCCTATGATTTAAATTCTAATGTCTTTCATGTTTATATCATGTGAATCATTCTGTAGGATTTATGGATCCAAAGGATGAGAGTTCTACGTAGACTCTTGAAGAAGTACCGGGAAACTAAAAAGATCGATAGACATTTGTACCATTCCTTGTACATGAAAGCCAAAGGTAACGTCTTCAAGAACAAGAGAGTTCTGATGGAATTCATCCATAAGAAGAAGGCTGAGAAAGCCAGGGCAGAGATGCTTTCGGATCAAGCCGAGGCACGCCGTACGAAAGTCAGGGAAGCGCGTAAACGTAGGGCAGAACGCATTGCTACTAAGAAACAAGAGTTGTTGCAATCCTACCAGCGCGAAGACGAAGCCGCGGCAGCACAAAAGAAGTGATCCAAGGACTTATGTATATATTTTTTATCGTATAAATAAAACATGATAATCTTATCTTGTCTCCCTATTATTCGATTCTTACCCATTGCAAATATTGTAAACGCTGTAGCTGTAGCGTCTTGGACATAAGTTCAATTATTCATTGCGACGTAATAAAACGACCGTTTATAGATTCGTTTTTTTCGAATACATAGAATCGTAGATGTTCATTTTTTCTGATTGACTTGAAATTAGTCAATTAATAAAAAATCTGAGACCGAGTGTACGTAGAATAATAAAGTTTATAATAAAAAATTTGATAAATTCTGATAGTATCGGAATTCAATTTTTACCGAAAGAATTCTATTCGTATGACTTTCTCCTCGAAATGATATACAAACGAACACGTATTAAACAGGGCCGTTGTTATTTCTTGGCGAGGACAGTGTATATAGCCAAAAATTAAATAAAAGTGAGAGATCGTCGTACTTTTTCAACTCACGCTCTCGATAAAACTATTAATACTTGTCGCACGATAAAAGGTACTTGTCTCGGGGTATAAAATATCTCGGGAAATGCTTTTTAAATGAAGCGAAGGAGCTCGCAATAGGTTAGCAGAATAAAGTGGGCTAGTATAATACAATAAGATCGCCAGACAATAATAAAAGTTGCATCGGTTCAATTGCATATTTATCAAATTCTTCGCATCCGTATGGAATTACTTTGATAAGAAGCTTGTTCAGCGACAAATGTTATGTTTTGTATAACACGTTCTATGAAATTTCAATCGTAACACGTTTCACGCATTTAATCAAGTAAACGTAGAATATCGCAGTTATCTTTTTTATTATGCTCTCAAATAATACTTCGAACAATATTCTTTGAAATGCAGTGTATCGTTCGAATTATGAAATCATCGTTTTCTCAGCATTTACAATATGTTAATATTACACGATTCATAGCAATATTGAAAGCTGTTTGCTTAGAAGCACGGAGGATGAATTTACCAGAATTTTTAGCAGCAACTTTGTAACGATTAGGAATAAAGTTATTTTTAATAATGTACAAACGTCTCTCTTGATAATTACTAGATTTGATCGCTAAATAAATGATCATTTCTCATCTAAATTGTTCTATGTATACATTAGAAAGATAATTAAATTCTGAAAGTTGCATTGATGTTCCCAGCTGGATGCTCCTGTGTCCATGAGAACTGATAGACAGTGACGATGGACCCAGAGGAACATGTAAATATTTGTGCATTTCAAATTAATGTCAGGATCTTTCATATTCTTTTACTTTCCTATTACACGAATATTCGTTCTATGTAATTAATGCTTTAGAAAATCTGGTTGTAACACTCTTCTTATGTGTACCATTATCTCTTGCATGTTGTGATCAACAAGTAGTCAAATTGCATCACTAATATATCTGATTGTGTACAGCTTATTTTAGCCACAGTATATCAGGTATTCGATTACTGCACTCATATGCTTAGACAATTTCTGGTACATTATTGAATAATTTCAGTGCCTTTCTGCGTGTGCGATTATTCAAGCCTTCGTTCTCAACGTCTAATCTCGCATTTCTCTTTTCTAGTTAACAGACAAGAGTCAACCGAAGTTCACGCGCTCGGCAGCGAGGCATCTTCGTCGTAAGCGTTTGCATGATGCTCGTAAAGCTGAGAAGCAAAAGGAGAACTTGACCAACGGGATAAACGCTAGAGCGAATCAGGAATCGATCACGCAGAATTCCAATCAGCCAGAAGTATTAACGAAATCGAAAGCCCGGAGATTACGAGTAAAAGTGAAGGCAAAGGTTTTCCGTTCGTTCTGACTTCTAACCATGTATCGCACAACGAGCATGTGCATCCACGTACGAGATTCTCCTTCTGTTTCAGCTTATTGACAATGGCTGTTTGCTGGAGAACTCATGTGATTTACGAGAATCGGTAGAACCAGCGAATTCGACTGTATTCGATATTGAACAGTGTAAAGCAAAGGACGAGAGAACGAGCCTCAAAGTGGAGTCTGTAAAACATTCGGCCGATGAACTACTTAACAACGTGAGAAACCTACAGTTCATTGAACCCTCTGAATTAAATAATTCACATCCTCTGATAGCGGATAATAAAACTGAATCACAAGATTTCAACTCTATACAGAAAAGTCCAAGTGCCAATTGTAATAAGGATCAGTCCGGAACTGAACCGATCTCCGATTCCTGTCCAGTGGTTACTCAAATATATGTACCAGATTTAACTTCCGTAAAACGAGAAGATATTACTGAAGTGCCCACTGTTTTAAGTACTGATAAATTATCAAGTGAAACTCGTTTACTTGATATTAAATCCGAAACGCCAGCAGCTGTAGCAACTAAAATGACCAACAGCAAGACAAACGTACCCGAGAAATCGAGGGATGAAGTGAAAGCAGAGCGCGAGGCGAAGAAAGCGGCTAAGGCTCTTGCCAAAGCGAAAGCTAAGTCGGCGAAAACGCAAGATACCTCGAGTAAGAAATCTTCGACCTCTGACAAACCTCCGCCTTCCGATAGTGTCAAAAGCAGAGATTGTGACGAGGCACCGGAGACGTTAACTAAAAAACCTAAAGAAACTGTTCAAACTTCTAATAAGCCCGTAGTTAATAAAATAACGAACGCGTGTACAAAAAGTGATCCGGAAAAGCCAGAAGCCGATGGCGAAAAGAAGAGTAAAGCAGAGTTGCGAGCTGAGAGAAGAGCGAAGCAGGAAGCGCAGAGAGCAGCTAAGCAACAGGGTTCGGTAGACAAGAGTAAACTTGAAGGCAAGGAAGAACTTAGTACCACTAAACCTCTGACGCAAACTCCTCCGGCCCAAAAAGTGAATAAGATCAGCACGCCTAAGAAAATTGTGCAGAAAGATGGCAAAGATAACGCACACGAAATAAATCTGTTCAAACATTTGTATCACGAAAGAGAGAAGGCGACCGTTGACGTTCTTCTCGTCAATTCAAACATCCATCCGGCAATAATTAGATTAGGAACGCAATACGCCAGCAAGGTGATCGCTGGCAGTAATGCGAGATGCGTCGCGTTTTTAGCGTCTGTCAAACAGCTAATTCAAGATTTCGAGAGACCGTCGCAGGCCGACTTTATCAGAGGTCTCGAGGCGAGTTTGAAAAAATCTGTCGATTATTTGCACCACTGTAGGCCTTTAGCTGTTTCCATGCAGAACGCGTTGAGGCATTTGAAATGGCAAATGACCCAGTTGCCTCCTGCGTTATCCGATTCAGATGTGAGTAGATACTTTTCGAACTTGATCCTTTTATGAGAGACTTAAAATCGGATATTCCAGGCGAAGAGCAAACTGTGCAACGCGATCGATACTTATATTCGCGAGCAAATTCTACTCGCCGACAAGTCAATATCGATAACTATAGAAACGAAGATTTCGAATGGAGACGTTATTCTGACTTATGGCTAGTAAGTATTTGACTATTTGAAAAACAATCTCTGTACTTCTTCCGTCCAAACTAAACTGATATTGGTTTTAGTTCATCTTTGATACACAAAATACTCTTAGACGCGCACGATGCCGATAAAAAGTTTCGTGTTATCGTCGTGGATGGGAGACCATGGCTAGAGGGAAAGGAGCAGCTCAGGCGATTAGCGAAAAACGGGCTCGAATGTTCTTATATTTTAATTAACGCTTTAAGTTATGTGATGCCTGAAGTAAGCATCATCGATTTCCTTTTATTTCTCAAAAACGTTTTAAGATCATTGATAGTAACCGAATTTTTGGACAGGTGAGTAAGGTGTTCCTTGGTGCTCATGCGATATTAGCGAACGGCGCGGTGATGTCAAGAGTCGGCACTGCTCAAGTTGCCCTAATGGCAAGAGCTTTTAATATTCCAGTGTTAGTCGCTTGCGAGACCCATAAATCTTGCGAGCGAGTACAGACAGATTCTATCGTATATAACGAATTAGGTAAGAACACTTTTATACAGTGTTTAATATCGTTTTTTGTTTTCGTTTTTCGATCGTTTTCTGGTTCCCAGGTAACGCGGACGAACTTGCCCGAGATAGTGGCAGCGGCACAAAAAAATCCTTGCTGGCGAATTGGAAGACTAGAAAGTCATTGAACCTTTTAAACATCACGTATGATGTTACACCAGCCGACTTGGTGACGGCTGTCGTTACAGAACTAGCTATTCTACCCTGCACTAGCGTTCCTGTTATCTTACGTATTAAACCATCGGAGATCTAAGTTTTCCTATATTGGGATTTAAACTTCATCGCGTAATATCTGAAACCCATTTTAATTACACTCCTTAACATACGGCGTCGATCCTTTTCTTATATTTCATCTTAATAAACGTATTATCGTTGTATATTATGTTGTGTACTTTAAATAAATCTCTGAGATAATAATCGTGTGGTTCTACTTTACTGGAAGAAGATTCCGTAGATCCCTCCAACTTTTTCTATATATGTCATAGCCTATCATGTGTTCACTGCTGATCTGTATATAAACTAGCAGAAGTTATAATGTACAACAAGAAATATTTAAGTTTTTCCTGCAATTACGTGATATCGGATAGAACGAATTAGTTGTACTAATGTATTATTTTAACTATAGTTCTCGTGATTATTAAATATAATTCGTTGGGTCTATGTGATCGTGATCCAACCTAATTCTTTCATCTCTCATTTGTTCCTTCGATGCGAATTAAATAAATAGGAAAAATGCTTAGACAACCGTTTGTAACAAAAATGATCACGATATGTCGCGGAAAATCGGTTTCGTTCTTTTCTACTGAAGGAGATATTCATAACATACTGGCAACACATTTACAAGTCGATCAGAAGGCAATCGAAAAATTGTATAAAATTAAAGCAGTCAGTATTATAACGAAAATACCGACGAAACAACTTATTCAGAATTGTGCAATACTGCAAGTAAATACGATTCGTGATTTTATTCACTGTTTTATGTAACGTGTGTGTATATCATCAATCATCTGTCTGTTGCTTTGTTTTAAGAATATGCAAGTGAACTTAGAAGAAATTGAATATCTGGCCCACTGCTTGATGATCCAGCCTATGGTGATGAGGAATCGGATTTCTATACTTAAAGAAATGGGAGTGGAGTCTGTAGAATTGCAGCACATTTACCGGTACGTCTGTTCACTCGTTTGCTGATACATCTTGTATTAATCGACTGTGCGTTTCAGATTTCCAGGATCCATGCGCAAGTCGGTCACCAAGTTCATGGAATCCCACAATATTCCAGCTAAAGAAAGCTATTTCGAAAGTGTGTTCAGTAATATAGGTGTAAAGATAGATAATAGTAACACAGATACAAAAATGTTGAACAACAAGATGAGAATGGGAGACTACTATGCGACCTGTATGATATACTATAAGAAGCATCATCTGAAACTGTACGATGACACGTTTCATAGAAATAAAAGAATGAAATATTTGAGCTTCGCGGAGCTGTCCAGATTACTGAAGATACTGAAGCACAAGTGTAAACTCAATGACACATTTGTATGTATACTTGTCGGAAAAGGGATTTTCGTATAAATAATGCAGTGTAACATCTTGTTTTTGCAGTTAAAAGAGAATCCTTACCTCCTACATTTGGATCTGGATAAAGTCGAGAAGTTTTTATCCGAGTTAAAATCCGTTCGGATAAGCGGCAAAAACATAATGGACGTGATAAAACAACATCCTCGTGTTCTGTTTTACGAGCCGAAGAAAGTGAAAGAGTTGTTGCAACTGTGCAAAACATTAGGCGTGCCTGACCGCACGATAGCCTCCTACATACATGTTCTGGGCATGGATAAAGGGACGTTCCTTGAAAGATACATGCAAATCGCGAATCAGTTCGAGTTGGGCGTGTGGCTGCAGCATTCGCGTGTACTGTGCATGATATATTCTTATAAGTTAGTCTCGAATCGCGTGAATTATCTCAGGCCGTTGAGCTACATTAACAATGCGAATATTAATACGTATCTGGCGGAAAAGAGATTCTTTCTAAGGTAAGTATATCAAGGATTTTTAATAAGTGATATTAATTAATAGTGACTTGATTTAGATTCGTGGAAGGCGAGATCCATCATACGGCTGTAAGAAAGTTTCTTCTATACGTTTTACGAAAAGAATTGGGAGAGGATAAAGTATATTTGATAAATTCTATTGAGAGGCATCCTTATTGGAAACATATTCCGTTGATGCATATCGATCAAATGTTACGGTTTTTAAAGAAGAATTTTACGGTCGAGGACATATGCTTGAATATACATGTGATACTCTATCCACGGTAAAAACAATTTTTATATCTAATAATAAGAGATGTGTGTGGACGGGACGGATTCTTGAAAATTTTGAGAACGGTCTATTCCTTATCTTTTTTAAATTCTTAGGTCCAAAGTTGTGGAAGTACTGAATTTGATATACGAGAATTATTCGCAGCAAAAGGGATATAATTTCACTCCCACGCAGTACTTGGCAATGTGCTTGTACAAACTAGAGAAGAAATACCATTTTACCGGTGACGCGGTTTGGCAGACGGTGCATAATGAGATATCCGATTTGAATCCGCATCTGTTCGAGGATATAAAACCAAACGAATCCGACAGTCTCGTAAAATATATAAACGAGAACGATAACGAAATGGTGAATGTAAGCGGTGCGGCGTGGCTCGAATATCTGCTGCAATCGCGTTGAGCATACACATAGGAAATTGTATATATTTTATTACAATAAACTGCTGATGTTTTGCGGTTATTTATTAATGTACACAAATATTTTCTGATGATTTATTCAAAATCGCTTTCGCTTACAAATCGTATATTAACGTACAAGATTATAATAGACACTACCACGTTCCGAGAGATGTTGTTCATCCGGAGGCAGAGTTCTCGTCGATTGCATATTCTCATGTTTTAATTGGAAACATCACAAATAGAAGAATGGAGTATAAAATATACACGCGATATGATTTGTATAAGAAATTTTACAAACTGAAAAATGACATACCTTACGTTTCATACATAGTTTCATACACGTACAGTTACGATATAGAGTACGACACGCTTTTAAGGCACTGGAATGCTCTCGTTCAGTTAATTGCTCCCTAAAAATACATTTCCTAAACCTACCTTTATCATAAAAAAAACGCTTCCTTCTACAGTTTCCTAAGTATCGTTAATAATTATTATACCCTTAATTACACGCGGTTTAAAAAAACTCTCGATCCAGTATATGATACAAGAAAGAATATTTCATAAATAAAAAACTGTTTAAAAATTCCCTTCCCTTACACAACTTCCTCGATCCTTCTGCTTTCAAGCTACCAAAAAACTACAGTTCCTCGACTCAAGACACCGTTACATTACGAAACCCAAGAAATCATTTCCGAGGGAAACTAGAACGAGACCCGAACGTCTCGTCTTCGGACCCGAGAGCTCGTCATCGACCCTGAAACTCCCAAATCGGAACCGCCAGGTGCTCTACAGCGAGCCTAGACCTGAGGTTTCGAGTCAGTTCAGAAAAGGAGGCAACTGTACGTAATTCTGCTGACTGTTCGGCTCGGTCTTCACCATAACTTGATCCTTCATCCCTTGCCGTCCCTGCGGCGAGTGCATCCCGTACTCTTGCTTCTGGTCCTGCTGCTGCTGCTGCTGCTGTTGCTGCTGCCCGTAATCCTGCTGCTCGTGTTGATACTTGTCCGCCGGACTCAGGCCACTGACATAATCTAGCTGCTTGTTCTGCTGATGCTCCTCCTCGGACATCGAGTTAGTCAAATGCGTAGGCGGCGAGTGGGTAGTCACCATGGTCTGGTAATCATTACGCGTGAGAGGCGGCGGCGGACTGTTGCTGGCGTTCATGTAGTCCTGGTGAACGCGCATCGTGTTCCCCGACGGCGTGGAGAACAACGAGGCGTCATGCTGAGGGAGCATCGTCGCGTACGAGTACGCCGTCCCGTTATTACTGGGCCCGCCGAAGGACGTGGAATACGGTGAATTCGACGGGCTGAGAAGATTCAGATGTGGTGCCAGGTCGTACGCCGGTGAATACGCCCAGGCATCAGGCGGTGCCGTCGCAGTCGTCGGGGAAGCGAACGGATTCAAAGTATTGTTAAGAGAGGTGAAAGATCCTGTAGAAAATAATTATATTTAATCGAATGACACGAGATTTGGTAAAATGTTTGATAACTTACCTGATAAACCCGGACTCGCGGAGCCGGCAGCCATGTAACCAGCGGTTTTACGCGGCGGTTCTCTCTTACGCCATTTCGCGCGCCGATTCTGGAACCAGACTTGAACCCTCGATTCAGAGAGTGCGAGTTTGAGAGCGAGCTCCTCTCGCGCGAATACGTCTGGGTACGGTGCACGCTCGAAAGCCCTTTCCAATTCTTCCAATTGATAAGCCGTGAACGTCGTTCTAGTCTTCTTCTTCTTAATTCCGTTGTTATCAGTCTTCTTCTTCGAGTCTTTCTTCGCCGGCTGCGCTTCACTGCTCACTGTGGAACAAATTAACGTTCTAACAATCTTTCGTTAAAGAAACGAAATACAGAGATGGTAAAGAAAATAACCGGGAGCAAGGGTGTTCATCGGATCTTCCGGCTTCCTTTTCAGAGGATTCCCGAGCTGCAGGCTTTGCTGTAGCGTCGTCGAAGTTGGCGTCGCGGCGGTGGACGTCGAAGTGGTGACGTCCTGCGTCTGCGGGAGTGGCGCGTACATTCCGGCCAGTTCTAATTCCTTCAACTCCTTCTGCTGCTGTTGCTGTTGCAAATGATGGTGGGACGTTTGATGATGCGGTGGTGGGCTGTTGGAAGAGTCCAATTTGTGAAGGTGGCCTCCGGTGGGTATCAAATCGCCGCCATGGTGTCCACCGTGAAGACCCAGCATCACTTGAATACTGTGAACGCCGGAACCAGCTCGACCGCCGAAGTCGGAGAAAATCGGATCGTCGAAGGGACCTCCGTCCATTTTTCCGGACTCGGAAATTTATTCGAAGTCCGTTGCACTTCACTTTAGTTCAGAAGCACGTGACTTATTATTGACTTTTCAATGCTTCAAATTGTATCTCCCTCGTTGAATTGCTATGAATCCAAGTTTAGATTTCTTCTATTAATTTCTATTTCCTCTTCTCGTACGTTGGCTCATCCTTGTCCTTTAATCGACAATTGAAAATTTGACGTTGAATTTCGTTCGAATCGTCGAAGCAACAGGTTTCCAATCACTTCCACCGATTCCTCAAGTTCTCGTTAATCTCCGCCAATTATGCAGAAAGGCGCGCAGTGCTCAGAACGGTGGTCGCGTTCGCGCGTCCTCCGTAATGGAATCCGAGCCAATTGCGATCAATTGTTGCCCGGGTTATGATTAATTTTGATTAGTCCGGGCTAACGAAGCGAGCCAGCATCGTGTCGTCGACGCAATGTACAGATTTAACCGGGACGGAAATCGGCGGGACCGGCGACCCTACGGTCGATCGTCACGATTCGAAACTGAGCGGCAGATATTAAAAATTCGAAAATCTCCTCGACTCGAATCTTCTCGGGACGACTTGCTCGCGGCGAGCCTCGGATGAAAGGTCGATCTCGCGAAACAACAAGAGCTAACCGGACACTGTCGCACCAGCGACGATCCGTTCTGACTCTGGCTAATCAACCGACACTCACACACGCTTATATTTTCAACGGGTTGTCGGCCAGTCCGCCCCCACACATGGAAACCAGCCAATCCAGTGGCATCGACTACGTCGTTAATGCTTCAGGAGAGGACGACCGTTTTATGCGGGCGCGGTACACTGCCTCCCAGTGTTTCTTCCTCTTTCTCTCCCTTTCCATTTCGTCCATCGTCGTATCTCTCCGTCCCTAGTTTTTATCCCCCTCGCACGATCATCGTCTCCCTCTCCCAGGATTCTCTTTCATTTCTTTCTCCCTTTCCTCCATTCTTCCCATGCCCACGCCGTGGTACCACGGGGTGAGTTCCCTAGCTTTCCTTCTCTTTCACTTTCATACACCTCCCGTTTTTCTCTCATTTCTATCTGTACAAGGTGCGCGTGTCGTTGATGTCTCTCCTAGGAACGTCTTTTCGTTTGGTACCACCGCGTCGTTGCGCCGCCCCCGGATGAAGAGACTGGAGAACCGGAGATTCCGCGATGCGTTTAGGTGACGGTGTCGGGACAACTGGAGGGGCGTGTGGGAATCGGAGCAACCCGGCTTGCGCACGATAAACTGCGATGGGAAAATTCTGCATCGGAGTCTTCCATTCTGACTATGAACTCCTCGCGCTTGACCCCTATCAGGAGGTCACAGTTCAAAATCTACCAGGCGCTTCATTGCATTTTTCGTATAAATCATATGTATATCTCACGATTTCGAGACTAATCTTTTACTTGGATCGTAGAAAGTTCAAACTCAGAATAAAAAATACTTACGGTTGTAACACAGTTTTATCCAAAAAAGTTTCGACCCACGATAACTGCAAATATTAAACACTACCGATGGTCTTTGAAACTTCACTTGACAGCCTCGGTTACACTCCACGAAACTGTATCAACGATTCTACGTCACATGTCTCTTGACCAACAGTCCTTGAACTTTGACTCCCAAAGATGACGAAGCTTGCAACCAGCCTGGTCCGAGATCACACGATTCTCTCGTCGCACCTCTGAACGTCCACAGTTTCGAACACATCCGGTGTCACCCGGATCGAAGATCGACGATCGATCCGCGAGGGTAGAAAGGTAAAAGTACCTATACTTTCGAAGAGATCCATGTCCGTTGGCCGGCAGCGTGGCACTGAGCTCTTAAGCGCAGGCTCAATGAAACCAGCAATCGCCAGGAATTGCCTCGAATTGGCCCAATCAAACTACCCCCATTCCGTGTGTACACGCGTACATTAACTGCTAATTTCATCGGCGGTAATTAGCGCGCGCTCGTGCGCGCCTGTCACGCGGTGATTTAATTGCACTCTCGCTCTCCGGGACCGGGCACGCTCTCCTTCACTTCCTACCCCACCGGACCGCGCGGATCCGTGTTTCCCGTTCGACACAGGAACCGCGGCCTCGTCGCTCGTTTCGACCGGTCCACGCGACTGTTCACCAGACTCGCGAATCGACCGGTGAACAGCAGTTCACGAGTCCGATTGAATCGACATAAACGAATCAAGTGCTTTCAATTGGATTCTGAAGGTGCGAAAAGACCGCGGCTACAGGCTATGTCAAAATGGGAAGCAAGGATTCCACGTAAAGAGGAAGAACTGCAGTAATGGACAATGTACGAAGATCATCAGAATGAATGGGAGACTGGCTTCCCGGAGGCTCGACGTTGGACGGCCAGTAAGGGTGATCGAATGCGGGCCGCAGGATATCCGCGGACGCAGGAGACGCCGTTTTGCCGGGAGGATGACGGCTATCGCGCAAGAGCGAGAAGTCGGTAACTTAACTGGCCTAAATGGGTTTAACTCGATGTGATTTTGCTGGCGAACCACTAAATTGAACGAATACGAACTAAACTGAACTCAACTAAGCTAATCATATCACATTACTAGCGTTATTAGCCGAGAGACGATATAAGTGAAGGTCCGGTGGTGCCTGGCTGCAGTAACGGGTCGCCTCCTGTACTGACCCTCTGCACGACTTTCTTTTTTCGACCCCCATTTCTTCCGCGAAAACACCGTCCGGTTTTCAGTCGTCGATCGCGCGTCAAACTGCTACGGTCACCCGGAAGTCGACTCTTCAGGGAAAAACTGGATTCCTGGTGAACGCGAGGCTCGCGATGTCACCCGATTCCGGCCGAACGCAGGACAGGAAACACGTGCTCCCGGAGAAAGTGACAACTCGTAGCGCGCCGCGTATGAACCGGTGGACGACTTCCGGTTCGCGGTGACGTTCGTAGTTCCCGCAGTGGATTATGCAGTGATCTCTATTCGACGTTCATTCGATTTTACTCATGCTACGAAGTGCGAGAGACACGTGAGACTTTCTTCAGTGGGAATCGTATTTTGTGATAATCTTTAATCTGTAATACGAGTGTCGGGATTCTACGCAAAGTACGATTTGAATAAAAATATTTGTATTGCCGATTCGTCGTGTTTGCTAAATGTCAAGTGTTTCGTCAATAATAAAAAAAAAACCTTTGCACTACGTAAATCACCTGAGAATGTTTAGTATCTCCGAAGATTCGACAATCCGTGGAAGATGTGAGTGGGGGTGGAAGAAAGAGAAGGCAGAAGAGCTTTATCTCCCACCAGTAGCTTCAGGTTTCCCCCAGAAGAGACCTGATGGAATAATGAGTACGAAGTGGACACGATACGTTCAGCTCCCACTACCATCGTAATAGGAGTTTCTTGGCTCCACCTACTCTTCGACCATATCACGACCTCGATTACTACCTTCCAATATATTTTATTTCATTCCTCGACCCTACGAGACTTTCCTCCTTTCCACTTTAAAAATTAAATCTCTCAAACGGAGGTTTATGAAATAATGGATATTTAAATATCGACTCTGAGAACGAGAAATGAGCATAACATGAGATAAGCCAGTCCCTTGCTTCGTTCTATGATTCTTTTATATTCAATATTAAATCATTTTGAAATTTCACAATATTTTTCACATAGAAATTATAAACAGTTATTTGCGCATTGTTGTTGAAGCCAGACAGTAGGGAGAGAAGTTCTCATCGAGGAGTAAATTTAGATTGACCAGAGACGGGAGGGTGACGAAAGGGTAGAACCCGAGAGACTTTTTGCACGCGAGCCGCTTTTTTTTACGTCGTAGGTATGCCGACCGGATAGTATTGCCGTGTGGCCAGGCTGACAGGGCCGACCAATTGAGCCTGTTAACGTCAATTGGACTGAATTAGTTCAATTGAACGTAATTGCACGAAGGCGACGGGGAACCTCCGCTCTCTGTTCGCCGGCCATGCTCGCGTTTTGCTATCCTCGCGCTGATATCGCGCTATTCTCAGGAACTTCCTCCGTGGTACAGTCCCAGCATCTCGAAACGCTCCGATGATACCGATCAGTAGACTATTAATTTTATTCCAAAGGCACTGAGCATTTAATAAGAGAATTGAACATGCGAAGACTGCACATGTTCAACAGACACCATAAAATATTTTTAACTATTCAACTGATTAATCGTTAAATAAATGAAAC